TTGTTCAGGTCGTAAATGTTTTTCTTCATTAAATGGATCAATGTCCTTAAGGGCAGTCCGATAAATGTAATTTTTACATAGATATGTCTCTAAAAGCTCTCGATAATTGACAGACATTTTCTCGTGTAGACTCGTCAGAACAACTGATCGCGATTGAAATAATTCGTTCAATTTAGTAAATTTTGGCAAAACCCATTGCAAGAATAAATAGTAAAGTTTTGTAATAGGATTGTCGAAAGCTTGAACAATTTGCTCAACTGAATGCAGACGTGCAGTGAGCATCTGTTCTCTAAAATATAATTTCAGTGCATCCCATTGTTCAAGAATTCTATTAACGATAGCGTATAAGGATAGCCATCGAGTTTGTGAAGGTCGGAGGATCTTATGAACTTCGATGTCTAAAAAGTCTTGAAATTCTTGAAAATGATATTGCCTTTTTGCACTGTTTTTAAATTCATTATATACTTTGCGTGCTAAAGCTTCGCAAGTCCGTGGCAATTCCTTACACGCTTCACTAGCACACAGGTGAAGCGAATGACAAATGCATTTAAAAATAAATATACCGGGACATTTTTCCATAAATCTACTAGCAACTGAGTTTTGGCTCCCCATCATTGTGTTGCACCCATCTGATGCAAATCCCATGATGTTATCGAATGAGATATCTTGAGATTCTAATGAGATCCTTAATAAATTAAACAAATGTTCTGCAGTTGCTCCTTCAGTATCTTTATCTTTTTCAAACACCTGGCATAAATCCCAAAATTTACTAACAACCTGAAGTTCTTCGATGTCAAAGTACCTATAAATACAAATTCTTGTTTTATTTTAATTGAAATGTTTATTAAAATTAAAAGCTTATTATTAATTTAAACCTAATGATATATTGTATTTAATGAAAGAACTTATTTAAATCTGATATATAATAAGCTTCTTTTATTTCAATTTAAATATTTTTTTTATTATATTAATGGACATTTAATTACATTTTGTTATATTTTGAAATTAAACAAACCATTTAACGAAAGATTTTAATTGCGTTAATTTTAAAGATTGCTAATTTATTAAAACCAAATGTATCATTTACAATGATCAAGTGAATTATTTCATAAAATAAACTGAAGGTTTAAATTTTTAATTTAATTTGTTTTTTAATTTTATCAAGAAGATTGTGGTTTTAATAAGTTATTGTCGTAATTGAGAAGTTAAGTTACTATATTTCAGTTTTTATTTGAAAATATTTCCTCATATGTCATATGTCATTCTGAGATCATACATTAACTATTAATTCATTATTAATTAAATAGCTTACCTTACTATAATGCACATTGTTTTGACAGCAGCAATGTCTGTACTTTCATCTATTAGTACACTGAAGTAACACGATTGTAATTTATTCCGTAAATGTTCTTTTTCTGACAATCCGATAACATTCTTTATTACTGCAGTTCCCTTTGTTGATTTCAAATGCATTCTTCTTACAATTTCAGAATCGGTTATACATTCCTTTATCAAAGGTGTTAAGTGATCTAAAGCCCTAAAGGACATGTTATGTTCGGCCAGAAAAGCACATAGTTTTAATTCAAATTTTTTCACTTTTTTGCAGTTGAGTCAATGTTTTTTTCACTTTTTGGGAGAAAAATATTTATTTTTGGCTGAGTCTCTTGAAATTTATGCCTATGACTCTGACATATCGAATGATTTTTTATTACAGTCAATTCAGCTGTAAAAGTCACATTGCAAAATTTACATTTCGCTTTTGCGAATTGTTGGGGACTTTAGAAAGCCATGTTTTAAAATTATCATCCACAAGCCAGGCATTTCGAAATTTTTGTTGACGATGTTTTTGAATTGTTTTTAATTTTGTCTTTGGCGGTGTATCGGGTAGAGATTGAATGTTTTCCTCTGATTCTGAATTCATTCTATATAAGAGATCAAGAAGAATAATTACGAAATTAATTATCAAAATTGATATCGGCAGACAAAAGGAAAAAAAACATCAGTTTCTGTGCCACACTGCCATTTCAGTTATCATGATTAACGTACAATTATTAATATTACATTTCACAGAAATACATCACAACATGTCCATACCTGTTGTTTTAGACGAATAAATCATCAACAATAAGGTTATTTGTCGCCGAACTATGAACTGATATTATAAAAATTATGTTGAACTGTAGCCAATATGGAAAAACAGATAAGAATTGGTTAGCACTGTCCATTCTTTTTAGCTATTCGCAAACAAACTAGGTATGAGGTGTGAGCGGTATGAGAAATTATTTACAAAAAGTCAAGGTGCAACATTCAACAGTCACTTATCCATAACTCGCGGTCGCAAATAGATCAGAATAGATGGCGGGTGGCGCGGGCACATTCGTTATCAGTACTACAACCGCTCTCTAAGCGTTCAGTGCGAGCTCTTGTATCTGTCTATATTTTCTAATGGAATATGCCAATCAGATGCAAGTGATGCAATAGCTCACTGAGCGCTTAGTGAGCGGTTGTAGTACTGAATGCACCCTATGTAAAGTCACTAGAATCTAGTGACTTTAACCTATCGTCGGTATCGTTGCAGTGCCGAAAACTTAAAAACTTAACTACATACTGCCTACTCTGTTGGTAATATGTACATAAAATTAAGAAAGAAGAATAACAAGTCAGAAATACAAAATTATCGTATTTGGCGTACGATAATGAAGTGCTATCGTACATCGTACATATAAGTGAAATTATCGTATGTGTACGACAATTATCGTACGGTTGCTAACACTGGTGATGTGACCATGCACATTGCCAGCGCCGTATTTGCCTCTAGTGCCGAAAAATCCAAAAGGACATTTTCTCCACCCCATAGCCTTGTCGACGACGACGACGATGACGTTTCTTAAATTAAAAGTTTCAAGTTCGGATTTTGCATCATTTTGCATCGCAATATCTCCGCTCGTAGAGCACGTAGAGAAAAAACAAAAACATTTTT